AAGCCTGTTTATTATTATTAACAGAGGTTCTGGATGTGAACTCGTGTCCCCATCCTTGCCGGGCAGGTACTTCACTGACCCAGCTGTCTCCCCATTTCCTGGTTTTATCGACTGACCTTCTGCTCAGTTTCAATTTAATTTTATGTGAGACAGGAAATGGATTTCTTCCTGTGTTTGTATTTAGAAAGAGAAATTGATTTTCAGGATGCGTTTCAAAAAGTTAGATGAAACCTGAAGTGGGTGAGACTTGAGCAAAGTTTTGAGGTAATTCTGTCTTAAAGTTGAATTTTTATTGAATAAAAAACTTGGGCCCTAATATTCTTTGATTTAGGAAGATGTGAGAATAACTAACAACCCTTGGGGAGGTTAATATATTATTGAAAGTAGTAATTTTAACAGTTTTGAACTCATGTTCAAAGATATAATTGGAATAATTTTCAAGACACATCAGTCTTTATTTCTCAGGAAATTACAGTGATTAAATTAACTGCAGGCAGCCACTCTTTCTCTCTTTCTATTATCTAAAGATAATGGGCCTCTGTTGAGGTTAGGGGGAAATGAATGATATATGGTCTATGAGAGACAACAGTTGAGACACGTCTTCCAACCTCTCTGCCTGAAACAGTTTATTCAAGGCACAACCACCACCACAGTTCCGTTGCTCTACGTGGCTTAAAAAACTTGACTCAAATAAATGGCTAGAATAATGTTTTTCTTAGAATTAAGGCATAGATGTTTCTTTCTTCTAATGGCATGCATAAGAGTCCATCTAAAGAAAACAATGCTATGTCCAAAGAGCTTTGTAAATATTGAAAAGACAGTTCAGTTTCTTCAGACGCTTTCTGGGCTCCCATCTTTACTTCTCTATGGAATTGGACTCTGAACAAGGACAGTAATGTCACACCCTTAACTCAGGTCTTTTAAATTACTTTTACTTTTAAATGAGCTATTGAAATTGCAGTGTTAAGGAAACTGCCCATGTATGAAAGACTAAATGAATCCTCATCTGTCATGTCAGCAGGCTTTCTGGAACGGTTCTCATCAGTGAAAAACAGCACCCTATTTTTTTTCAAGATCTTTCCAAACTCAGAGTGTTGTAGATAGTATGTCTGAGTCTAATCTGACCCAGATAAGCAACTGCAGTGAGTCTTTCCTTCACTGGGTGGTGTTGCCTGTTAAGTTTCAGTATACTGGAAGTGTTGTCTGGCTATGAGGTGGTGAGGACCCTAAACATAGTAAATACCATGATGCATGGGATGGACTGGCTGGACTCTCTGCCAGTCTAAACATAGGGATTGTGAGGCCCAAAGTCAAAAAGAGAATTAAACAACTGTCTAGAGACTAGAGAGATGGCCCAGCAGTTAAGAGCACTGACTGCTCTTGCAGAGGACCTGCGTTCAAATCCCAGCACCCACATGGATGTGAACAACCATCCATAACTCCAGTTTCAGGGGATCTGACACTCTCTTCTGACCTCTGTGGTCATTGCATAACATGGGTGCGTTCACATACATGGAGGCAATATACTCATACACATAAAATAAAAGTAATAATAAATAAAATATTTTAATTAGTATAATATGCAAGGAAATTCTTGTAAAAATACTGATGTTTATCTGAGATGCTGTTTATTGAGGAAGGAGGAGGAACTCACATCAAATCTTATTCTGGGTAGAGAAGGAGAGCCAGGACATTAGCATTTGTATCAAATGCAAAGTCAAAAACATGAAAAGAAACGGTTACTTGGCATTTATGCTAACACTATGAACTTTGATGTTTTTGGTTTAACTGTGTAATTTCATATAATAGAAGATGTTTAGGTAAAGCATGATATCACATTGCCTTGTATTTTAACACAGCAAAACAAGAACTGTAAGGCACAGAGTTGGACAATGGAGAAAGGAGGAAAATTATTTAGATTTCTTTCACATGAAATAGAAGGTATCTTAGTGGAGAGAGATATTTATGTTATATCTGTGCTGGAGAGCTTTAGTTGTCAACTTGACACACCTGGGTAGAGGGAGTCTCAATTGGGGAATGTCCTGTATGAGACTGGCCAGGGGCCATGTCTGTGGGGTAATTTTTTGATTGTTGAGTGATGTGGGAGGACCCAGCCCACTGTGGGTGTCACCCCTGGGAAGCAGCTCCTGTATTAAATAAGAAAGCAGGCTGAGCAGGGGCCAGGAGAGCAAGCCAGTAAGCAGCGTTCCTCCATGGCCTGTGCTCCAGTTCCTGCCTCCAGGTTCTTTCCCTGAGTTCCTACCTTGGGCTCCCTGATGAACTGTGACCCAGGAGATGTAAGATAAAATAAACCTTTTCCTCCCCAAGTTGGTATTGGTCAGGGTTTTGTCACAACAATGGAGAAACAAACTAGGACAATGTATATGCGTCCACTTGTCCTTGTATACATATACAGAGACCAGAGGTTGATGTTAATGTCCTCCTCTATGGTTCTCTACCTTATTTAAAAATATCTATCTATTTATCAATCATCTATCTATCAATCATCTATCATCTATCTATCTATCATCTATCTATCTATCATCTATCATTCATCTATCTATATGCCCCAGAAGCAGTTTTATTGGTTATATGAACTTGTATAAATTTTCATTCAAAAGGAAAAGATAATTTAAAAATATACACTTCAGTGGGGTGGCAGTGAAAATTAAATACATCTGTCCACGTCAAAAATGTTTTATTACTTATAAACTGTGGCACTAAATTTCTTTTATAGGACGCAATTACTTAGTGTGATTAAGTGACTGAAATAAAATATTTGTAATCTGTTATGTACATTTCCTAATGTACATAAAGGGACACATTCCAACCCATGTTGGAATATTTAATGTAGGTTTAATTGTGAGGAAATAGATAAATCCAGCATGAGGGATAGAATGCAAAGCCACTTCCCTGTGCTCTTGGGTAATGCTAATTACCCAAAACAAAGAGAGACTGTAGATGCCCAGCAATGGAGTTGAGTCTACAGTATCCATGGTATCCAGTATCCAAGCAGACATTATTGTATTATTATTGTATTAGTGTATGTATTAGAAACAGAATCCCACAGTGTCCTTGCAGCAACCACACTGCACTAGCTATCATACCAAGAGATGATTTAAAACAGGGAGGATGTCATATGTAAATATCACTTCATCCTATATAAGGACCTGGGGCATTCTTGGACTTTGGTATCCAGGGACTTCTGGAAACAATCCCCCATAAATATCAAAGACATACCACTTATGAAGTGGGGATCCTAGGGTGGTGCCTGGATTTAAAACCAATTTGACGAATACTCCAGACTGGAAAGGGCATGTTTGAGACAGTTGGGGCTATTTGAATAGTATATTAGATACTCCTGTCAACTTAAAACTTCCTGAATATGATTATGTGGCTAGGATAGGATCATTATTCTTAGAAAGTACAGAAGTATCAAGGAGTGAAATACCTATATATTCACAAATAATTCTCAAATGCTTCAACAATATGCATATTTGTAAATATTTGTATATATACAATCATACACACACACACACACACACACACACACACACGGTATACCTCCAAATGTACACAGGGTGAAAATGCAAATTTTAGTCATATAAAAATTCAGATGAAGCTCTGATAACTATTCTTACAACTGTTCTTGCAGTCTTGAATATTTTCAAAATAGAACACTTGAGGGCTGGGCCTATGACACATATTCTTCCAGCACGTGGGAGGCAGAGGCAGGCAGCTCTCTGTGAGAGGGAGGCCAGCTGGAGCTACAGGGATACCCTGTCTTAAAACAGCAGCATCCCCCAAAATCATCTGAGAGAAAACTTAAAAAGGTAATTAAATGGACCTTGAGATATATTCTTATAGATCATGTTGTCCTAGGATCTTATTTTAACAATAATATTTTTACTGATTCTTTGAGTATTTTATTCGATATATTTGGATTGTATTCAGACCCCCTCTCCCATCTGGGCCCTCCCTGTACTGTCCCCTTGACTGACTTCATGCCTTTTACTATTCTTTTCCTTTTTTAAAACTTTATTTTTATTTTATGAATATGAGTGTTATGTCTGCATGATTGTAAGTGCACCTGTATTGTACAATGTCCATTGAGTTAGAAGAGGGCTTAGGATCTCCTGAAACTGGAATATAGAGGATTGTTAGCCACCATGTGGGTACTGGGATTCGAACCCAAGTCTCCTGCAAGAGCAGCCAGTGCTCTTAACCACTGAGTCACCTCTCCAGTCTGTCTTTTACTTATTTATTTATTTTTTAAAGATCAATCAAGTCTAATTTGTTTTCCCCAAATATTCTTCAGTATGGATCCATCCCTTAGAGTCTGGTCAACCTACCAGGCATCACATCCTTAAAGAAAAGTGACATTCCCTCTCCTAGTAGCTGTCAGTTGCCTCCAGCTAAGGCTGGGGCTTCTTGCCCACCTCCCCCACCCATGCTGGGTTTTTGTCTGGCTTGGGCTTGCATAGGTCTGTGCATGCTGTCACAAGTGCTGTTTGTTCATATGTGCAACTGCCCCTTGGTGTCCAGTATATTCTTCTACCACCTCTGGCTCTTGCTAACCCTTCTTCCATAGTGACTAGAATCTTATCTTATTGTGAGATGCAAATATGTAGGCTTTTAAAGTAAAGAATCTATATTTTAAACAAATATATGGTTTAGACAAATAGTAGATTCTGATTACTAATTTGAAACACTTTTCCACTGCCAAAATTCCAGGAAAAGTTGGAAGTTCTAAATTCCTGTGCACATTCTTCCAAGTATTTAAAAGTAAACTAAAAATGTATCTGGGTATGTGTGCCCATAGTTTGCTGCCCATGTCCTCCTTCCCAAGAGACACGGTGCAGTGTACCTTGTTTGCTTGGAGAAGCACTGAGAAGTTCACCACCTTGTTCTTTTGTCACTTCATCTTGGGTGATGTGGCAGGATTCTGATCTCCTCTATGGCAGAACGCCAATGACATGCTTGTTTTTTGTCTTGTATAGATCACCAGCAGCAGACCTGGACTGAGGGAGTTCCTAACATTTTGGTACGTAATTACAAAGTTATTGACCTTAGTGGCAATTATAACTTGAAAATCCCAACCTCTACTTTGTTATTTTAATTTATGAACCAAATCAGAATAAATGAAGTATATTTATCCCCAGGCTGGTATTTGTGCAGAGGAAAGCTAATAGCATTGTTAAATTACCAACTCTATTTTTCTCTTGGAAATGGATTCTGGGTGGTGATTGTTTTACAGGGAATTGAATTGCTTAGTGAACAATTATTGCTAATTTATGGATTGATTTTTTGTTTGTGTTGCCCCCGGGCAGAATAGCTTCTCATTACTACAAAAGTACCAGAGGATCATGGGATCTATTTCATAAGCAACTGTGAGTTTAGATGCCCAACTGTAATTTGACTGCTCTAGAGATAGGTATATTTTAATAGAAAGTTATTAATAATTAAGATAAAATGAATTATAATTTTCTTGCCTTTCAAATTCATCCCTAATAAACTAGCCAAGACTAGAATTCTATGGTTACTGGTGTATTTCCTGTCACTGTCCCTTTCATCTCTGATTTACAAAATGATGTAAAAGGATTACTTATCTTAGTTCCCAACTGGGTCATCTGTCCCTTTCTTGGTTTAATTCTTTTATACAAGACGAACTACAATGCTAAGCTTGCTGAGGAATGTAAGGGAAGTATTATTTTCAGAGTTATCTACCAAAGAAACCCCCCTCCCCTTTGTGACTACGTGGATGAAGCTAAAATTGTGGCAATTGCTCAGAAAATATGAGTCTGTAAATTTAAAGCTTTTACTTTTCTATGAGCCAGAAAATAGGGTAAAGTCAGGAGTCTCCCCAACATGCAGTTTCTACAATATCCAGTTCTGTTGCTAACATCTTTGAAAAATTGTGACTCATTGTTCATCCTAGGTTTTAGTGAAGAGGGTACTCTCTTTCCATAGTAACTGAAGACCTTGGTCCTGGTTGTCCAACTCATTGACATGAACATCACTTTTGGTGTGTAACTCAGTTGGTCAGATATCTTCAAATCTATGTATATTCTTATTGTTTCAATATGGGTTCAACAGATGGGTATTTAAAAATATTTTTATTGAATTTATGTGCATTTTATATAATACATCTTAATCATATTTAGATCCCCTCCCATATCTGCACCCTGCTCATAACCTCCCACTGGATTTCATCCATTCTGTCATCTATGTTAAGGCCTAATGAGTCAAGTTTTTGTACCCAGATGAGTCAGTGTGAGTTTCTCACCCTGGAGCCTGGTCAGCCTATCCAGCATCACTCCCTTAAAGAAAACCAACACCCTCTCACCCAGCAGTGACCCAACAGTTCCTCTGCTAAGGTTGGGGCTTCCTGCCCATTTCCCCAGTTCTATGCTGGGCTTTTGTCTGATTGAGTTTACATGGGTCTTGTGCATGCTGTCACACTGCTAGTAAGTTCATATGAGCAAGTTCCCAGAAGCCTGGAAAACTGTTTCCTTGTGGTCATCCACCATCCCTGGATCTTACAATTTTCTGCCTCATCTTCTCCAATGGTCTCCCTGAGTCCTAGGTGGGTGAAGTTTATTTTATTTTTTATTTTTTAAATATTTTATTTATTTTAGGTGTATGCATGTATTGCTTGCATGTAGGCAAGTGAACCTGTGTTGTGCAATGCCCACAGAGGACAGAAGAGGCTATTGGATTCCCTGGAATTGGAGTTACGGTCAGTTGTTAGCTGCCATGTGGGTGCTGGGATTCGAACCCAGGTCTTCTGCAAGAACAGCCAGTGTTCTTAACTGCTGAGCCATCACTCCAGCCCCGTGGGTGAAGTTTAATACAGGAGTCCTTTCCAGGGACAGGCACTCTGTAGTCTCTTATACTCTACACTTTGGCCGTCCATGTTAATAGTCCTCTGTTGCATGAGGCAACTTTGCCAGTGAGAATTGAGAGATGTTTTGGTATTTTCTCTACCCTGTTCTATGTTCCATGAACTTTAGGTGTAGAGGTTCCATTGTAAATGTGTCACTTAGGGCTGGGCATCTCACAGACACTTATTCTCTGTGTTTGACCAGTTCCATCTGTTGCAAAAAGAAGTTTCTTTGATGAGTGGTGACTAGCATACTTGTCTGTAAATGTAAGGATCCATATTTAGCATACCATAAGAAATTACATTTGTCATAGGATATGACAGATATAGGGTTTCCTCTAGAATCTGTGACCTCTCCAGCCATGTGTATTTGGCTATATTTACAGTACCACATGAGTTTCCACCCATTGAGTGGGCTTTAAATTCAGTTAGCTGTTGATTACCCCCAAGATAAAAGTGCTACTACTGCGCTGATGTAGTTTGCTGTGCTGTTCATTGTTGTGGTTATTGGGCTTCAAAGCTGGGGTTGGGCCATCAGTTGCTGTTCTCCCTTAGCAGCTCGCATAGTGTCCTCCAAAACTACGAGAGCTAGTCTTCAGGGAGGAGGCTTCCAGGTCAGTTCCAGCTCTGTTGCTCCAAGTCCTGTATCCGGAGTATGTCCTGTCTTCAGCAATAGGGTCTGGGAGGTAATCAAAGGCTGTGACAACAGCCTCTGTTATTTGGGGAATTTCTTGGTCTACCCTGACCAACAACTTGAAGGGAGGCTTCTCCTGTCTGGCACTGTGATTCTTGTCATCTAGCCTTTAGCTATACATATGCACTCATGGGCAGATATTGTATGTATGCTTTTCAGTAGGCTTTTGGACCAGTATAATTCCCTCTGGTTTTTCACACAACCTAAGTATTATTTATCTCTCCTCTCTCTGTCTAACCCTCCCTCCTTCCTCCATAGTTCAGGCTCCCCACTTTTCCCCATTCTGTCCTTGATAATGGCTGTCTCCTATTTTCCCTCCTTTCTTGAACACTTTTTTCCCTTTATCCCCATGATTTCTTGTACAACCTTCCCTCCTCCCTAGTTAAATATCCCTTTTCCCCATTTCTCCCTCAGATGGACATTTTTAAAAATTTATTAAAAAATTATATATATATGTGTGTGTGCATGTGTGAATGCATGTGTGTGTGTGTGAATGTATGTGTGTGTGCGTGTGTGTGTGTGCGTGCGTGTGAATGTATGTGTGTGTGTGCGCATGTGTGTGTGTGTGTGTGCATACCATGTGCATACAGGTACCTGCAGAAGCCAGAAGACAGTGTCAGATTCCTTGGAATTGGAATTACTGGTGATTGTGATGCTGGGAACGAAATCTCACTCTTCTGCAAGAGCAGAAAATGCTCTTAACTGCTGAGCCATCTCTCCAGCTCCAAAGGCATTATTTTGATGAGATGGTCAATATGATTTCCATACTGCCTTCTTAGGTAAAGAATGATTCATTTATTATAAAGTTGGATATCTTATGGAATAATTTTAAGTGATGCTTTTCATAGCCATACTTTCGATGCTTTATAACATTGTTTTCTCAAGGTATTAATGAAAACGAGCAGTTTTTACCATTTTCAAAAGTCAAGTAGTTTTCTAGTAAAATGTTTAGATTAGGGGACTCCCTCATGAAAGATACCTAGTAAGAGCCTGGCTGGCTATCCCTGTGTTACAAGAGAACTCTTCACTGATTGGAAGACTAGCTTAGATGGGCTCTAAAGTTTCTTGTTATATAAAACTTTGTGTTTAAGATGAAAATAGGCTGTGCCATCAATAACCAAATTGGATAACTTAATTTTAAAAGCATTATCAATGTGTTTACCTTGAAAAACAATTAGACATAGCACAAGGGTGAAGAGGTCAGGCTCTAAACTCAAGTGGCAAGAGTTCAACAGTCTTCAACACACTTGCTAGCTGTGTGACCTTGGCACATAACTTTTATGTGACCCTTGTTCTTCTATTTCATTTAAAATTTATTATTATTAATGTGTGTGTGAATGTGTGTGCATGATGTGGTATACATGTAGAGATCAGAGGACAACTTATGTCCTTTATTTTTTTTAGTTTTAAAATATTTTTTGATTTATTTTTATTTTATGTGTATGAGTGTTTTGCCTGCATGTATGTAAGTGCACCCATGGATGCAATGCCCACGGAGGCCAAAAGAGTGTGTTGTAGCCCCTGAAACTGGAGTTATGGATGGTTGTTAGCTTCCATGTGGGTGCTGGGAATCCAATCTGGGTCCTCTGTAAGAGCAGACAGTGTTCTTAACCACTGAGCCATCTCTCCAGCCCTAACTGCTTTCCTTTTTAAAAGGGAAAGTAATAATGTATACTAAGACTGTTACAGGGATCAATGTGTCAGTGTAAATACAGCTCTCAGAATAATGGTCTCCTGCATGACAGAGTTCTTAGGATGCTAGTGATGAGTGTTCCTGCATCAGCTGGGGCCTGGGACCCTCTTAGAGGCTTTTGTGCATTTGATATCAGTCCCTCAAATCTCCAGCCTTTAAGAGTGGCATGAACCCTGTGATGCTTTCTGCAGTTCTTTTAAGTACATCATGGGCTGTCCTGGTTCCACCTGGAGTCAACGTGCAGCACACACACAGATGCTTCTCTGTTTTCCACTTAAGCCACACTGTGGTTCCTACATCCATCACTCCGTTCTCCACACTGCAGCCTCCATCTCTCACCTTCCTGCAGTTGTCTTAGCAGGTCATTTTGCATGCATTCAAACACCCCTGCACCTCAGCTTTTGACAGAGGTTGCTTGAATAATTTTATAGTATTATCCACCCCTTTACCATCTGTTTCTAAGAGAAAGGCTTGAGGTAGCCACTAGGATTATGGAATGTTCTCCAGCCAAGGCAAAGTTATATTAGCATATTTCTACCCTTACTGTCATTAAGCCATGGTGAAGGAACTTTGCTGATTTTGTCACTGATATATTATAGGCTTAGTTCTCAGTCCAAGTATGTGTAGTGGGAACAAGCCGTTCACAATCACTGCTCACTCACTGTGCCGAGGTTTCTCAGCCTGTGATTATTTTGAGTTCTTCCCAGGATCCTTAAAGTATAAGGTGCTTGTCTCATTATTTTGACATATTCCTGCTGGGCAGTGAATATTGTG